GTGGTAGAAACATGCAGGGTGGGGATTTCAAGTTTTGCTCCTGCTGACACAAATCAAGGGCAGGTTTCTCAAACTGTGAAGTATATTAAATTCATGGAGTTTTAACAAAGGGCTACCAAACCATAGAATCCCACTGTGAGTCACACTTCTTTCAGCTGTCCTTTTAATTATATTAAGTGAAGGTTTTGGGCACATTGATGCTGATGGGCAAACATCTCAATCTCTTGAAAAAGCTGCTAGAAGTACTCCCTGTAGCTATAGTTAATATATGACATTGTATGTGCACTGCTAGCCAATTTATTCCAGCCACTTTAACAATGATACCTGGCCTGACAGGCTGTGCAGAATAGCACCAGGAGTCAAGCAATGCGCAAATCATTAGAAGACCCTGAAAGTTGTTTGACATGCACCGCAGAGATCTTTGTCATAGAGCCAATTAAGTGACCAAACAAGGAACTTGAAATTCCTCATTAATTTGGCCCTTTCTATATAAATGGATGTTAGTCTTTCATGTCACGGGCACAACAAGAACACAAGCAAATGCAGCATCATTCAATTTATGCTCCCTTTCAGAGCTAAAAGTTTCTTTCATTTAGTCTTCACAAAGTTGGGACCAGCCATGCAAACAAGAGAGAAGTGGGACAAACAGAATTAATCCATTTTAAACAGTACTGGCTATGTCCCAGATGCACCTTTTATCTGCTGAGAGCTACTAGGTTAGCAAAGAAAAAACAAAGTCTCTCCTACTCAGCACTAAACTTAATGCCTTGAATCCTCTGAGGAAAGCCTTTTATTTTTTGCTTAGTACAGCAATTCAAAAAGCCCATGTTACAAGTGTGAAACATTAGAAAACTTCCAAGAGAACCAGAATGACAACTCTGACTGCAGACACCCACCACTGTCTGCTACCTGGAACCTGCCAGCAACTAAGCACTGGCTTCACTGGTGGCTCCGATAACATCTACATCCAGAAGCTCTTGTGATCTTCATGGAGCAGATGGCACATCTATATCTTGGTCATTTGCTGTACAGGCAAGCCCAGAATCACAAAAGAGGGCAAGCTGATTTACAGGACAGTCTGGAGGATGGCAGGAACAAGAGCAGCAAACACCAGTAGTCCAGGAAAACACTGCAAAAGCAACACTTTGCTGCCTCCTTCCACCCTTACCACAAAGCTGCTGAGCTGCTGCTCAGGCTATCTATTGTATCCACCAGCCTTCAGCTTTGAAGTCACCAAGACTGGGTTCAAAAAATAAAATTAAAAGAAACAAAAAAAATAATCCCAACCCCCCCCCCCCAAAAAAAAAAAAAAACCAAACCATAACCCAACAAACAAACAAATCAAAAATAATGGGAATCCTGTGAAGTTTTTGTCTTCTGAGATCTGCATCCGAAATGTAGCATGAAATTTCAATTGGGAAGAGGCCATGGGCTGGCACCACAGTGAAATTCATTGGCCTCAAAGCTCCAGCCCACAAATCCAAGCAAAGCAAGGAGGTGAGCTCAGATTTCACAATCAGGTGCACATATGTGATAAAAAGTCTCTACATGGCTGTATGTGGTATGAGCCTTTATTAAAGCTTGTGTTTTCAGCTACTAAATCTTACAGCAATATTCTCTATGTTTAAGTTTTCTGTGTTAATATGGCCTCACCGTCCGAAATATCTGAGTACTCAGACTTTTTCATTTTTTCTTTACTATCCTATCTCCATTCCCAGAGGGCAGGAGAATTGTACCCACGGCATTTTAAACTGGGGAGCTGAGAAACAGTGAGTACATGTCACTTGCTGAAGGGTATGGAGAAAATTTGTGACACCAACCCCAGTTTTACAGCTCCCCAAAAAGACAAACATTTTGTGTTTCCTACACCTTCAGTGCTTCAGTTTAAAGATAAACTCCTTTGGAAAATGAGCAAATATCAATTCTGAAAAAGTTACAGAATATTCATTCTGGCTTTCACCACATACCAGTCACTAAACGAAGCTATGCTAATCAAATGCGTCACCCATTGTGACTCATTCTCCCACACGATGACTTTTCTATCCCTTTCCCAAAATAGAGTGTAAGAACAGTACACTGCAGAAAGGTAGGCATGAGAGATGTATATCACTGCTGTCCAAAAGGTCACACATATCGAATCCAACCTCTCCTTAGCTAATGAAGCACCTTTCTAAGGCCACTCAGTCCAACTTGGATATCCACCTTGGTCAGCCCAGACTAAGTTGACTCTTAGCATCACGAATTAAAGTCCACATAGCTTTTCTTACATACCACAGTGATTGAAAATATCTCCCATCAATTGCCTGGTAATATATTAATATCTATTTATCACATCACCTGTCAGGTTGATTTGTGTTGGATTTTTGAGACAAAAAAGATCATTTACCATACTTGCAACGCTAAAGGAGCAGCATTTGTAACCTCTACCTCCCATAAATAAAATTCCTGCATTTTTAACTCAACCAATACTGTGACACTGCACAAATTAAATCAATATTTGTTTTAATTATACACTTACATAGAGAGATGAGATGGTAATCTGATATGGCATTCCCAGACTCATATTTGAATAATTCACAAAATTTCCAGATCCATTTTACATATTTATTTATATTCATTTATTTTATGCTTAAGAGGACTTTAGACCCCAATCACTACAGGGGCTGTCATGACTACATGAATTTGTCATCCCACAGAAAACAGTAAGACTGCTTTTAGCAATTATTAACTTTTCAAATCACCCTCCTCCTCCCAAAACCCCCACTTTTCTCAATTGCATTTTTGATATTTACGATTGATGGACATCTCTCATGTAAATTTTGTACTGCACTATCCTTTGTCTAGGTAACGCAGAACTGAAAGTACGTGTCCAGCCCCATGAGAAAAAAATCAGCCATGGATGCTCGTCACAATAATGGGATACGCACAAGGAGATCGTGTCAGCAAGGTTGAAATCCCTGTTTCTCTGCCGACAGTGGCATATATCCCTGTTAATTCCCATTTCACATTGACATGAAGTCCACTATTTCACCATTTAAAATCTGTTGAGAAATCTCTGCCAAACTGCCTTAGCCAGCCCAGACATTCCACTGACTGATAAAAGGACAAGTGGCCTGTAACAAGAATATTTGCAGTTACATTTGATTGCTATTACAGACAAAGTCTCCCTTACAAGATTTTTAGATGACTTTAGCTAGATGAGCATCCAAAAGGAAATACCCTGTATGAAAATATGTCCAGATATACAACTTTACCTCCATATAATACAAAGCAAAGCTGGAAAGGTTTAATTAGGTCATCTAAATCATTCTTCAAACCCTCTGTTACACGACTGTCCTCTTCAATAAATATATTTACTAGCTTTGTCCATATTTATACTAAACATCTCAGGCAATGAGCTTTCATCAGTTTTGTCTACTAAAGAGGTAGGTGCATGATTAATGTTCAAACACACAAGTAGCCTTTCCAAGTGAAAAGCTAGAAGTCCTTGAAATTAAGGGTAAGCTGAAGTTTGTGAAGAATATACAGGACTTATTCCACCAATGCCAAGCCTTTTGTAGAGTGTATGAAATTCACTATTCACTATTGCTTGAAAGAAGACAAAAAGACCAGGAGCATGTGTTGACTCTTTAAAGTATGCCCATGAAGCTAAACCTATGGGTTAGGTAGCACCAAAGGTCCCCAACTGGTCTGTATGGTTCATGGTCCAACCAGCCTCACATTTCCAGTATTACCAGTAGACAAGATAGCTAGCTTGGGAGTGAGTGTTGCATTGTAAAATTTCCTACATTCCTTCAAATGCTAGCTACTTTCTTTGGGATCTTAAGAGAAGTCACTCCAGACAAGGGATGTGCAATTCCTTATCTTTATCCATTAATGTATATGGAAGGGAAAAGGTGACCTTCTCTCATGACCATAATAAAAGGGATGACAGACAGCCTGCTAGAACAGAAGGTTACTGTTTTTTAATGTCCTAGAAACCAAAAACATCTAATCCCCCTCCACTAAATGAAATATTGACTGAAAAAAATAAAGTCAATACCAACTGTAGGAAGTTGAATTTTTCAGGAAAATACGGGTATAGACAGCTCCCTCCAGAAACGTGCGCTTCATTTTTACATCTCTGCATGTTATACATACACACATAAATAACAATCAACCACCCATAAGTAAAACATCAGTGTTCATAAGCACAAGACAGAAATTAGAAAGTAAAACGTTCACATTTCTTAAGCAGCATTAACCTACCAATAGTATACAAACAGGCTTATATAAAAGTCTGGAGCAAATGCTCTAAGGCAAGGTGACAGGATAGATAACATAATCCAAGGCCCCACTTTTGAAAAGCCTACAATCAGATCTTTCCAAAGTGCTGGAGCTTGACTTTGTTCATGTTTTCACAAAGTAAGCCTACAAAAGTTGGGCCACAGCTGGGTGAACATTATGGGACACTATGTTCCTAATCCTATATTTAGTTTGCAGCACTCTCTTCCTTCCCACATCCCTCTTTGAGGACACCCTGCATTTCATTATGATCCTACCTCCTCCCTCATGCTGAGTGTTACCATTTCAAATTGTTTCTAAATTTGCAAGTGTAAGAGGGGAAGAAAGAAAACTAAGGAAATGCAGGTGGCAATGGTATGAGTGATATGTCATAAGCAAAACCTAGCTGGTCTGGAGACACCTCTTTCAGCTGGAGTTTTGCATTCTTTACTTCCATGCATCCATACTGTTCTGCATATTCCTATGGCTGGATGAGTCTTGTCAGATCTCTCCTGTGCTTTTTCCCACTTTCTGGTTCAAAGGTTTTGCCCAAAATTTTGTCAAGTCTGAGAGAAAATGGGCAGGTGGGAGGATATGAAGAATGAAATTATTATCCTGCAACCTTAACCTTAGAACTTGCTGCCACAAAGATGGTAATAGACAGATTATTCACAGACACAAGACCCATTTCACAATCATTCAAACAACTGGACACGTATTAAAACCACAAGGAATACCTGGACATAGGCCCTGCAAGAGCGCTCCCTTTTCTGAAGCTGAGTCCATAAAGACAGCAGATTAAAGACGGAATAGAAAAAAACAAGTTAGTGACAGAACAAGGGAAAAAAAAATTGAAGAAAACGCCTATGAAAAAAAACGCATTTGTCTCTTAAACAGCTCCTGAAAACCAACCATACCAAAGGAAGCATGCGAATTAGACAGCAGTGCAAGGCTGGAAGGACTGGCTCCAGAAATATGTGTTAGTCCTTTTTTTCAGTGAAGTAAAGCACAAACTGGCAACTTTTCAAGAGCAGCTGTTAGATGGTAGGAGACACTGAAGTCAAGTAGAGATGTTCAAGAGATGATGTTTTCCTTAACAGCTTGGAGATCACACATGATATTTCCAGGTCAAAAAAAAGGCTGGAAAGGATGGGGCTGATGGTGTTTTACGTAAGGAGTGTGGGCTCTGCAGTCAGACAGGTGCTGATGGCACAGTGAGGTATAACCAAGCTTTGGATGAGCAGGATCAATTCCAGTGAACAAAATGTATGCAGGACTGCATCCTGACACAGGATGGACTTCTATGGACCCATCCTGACACACCTTCTCAGGTCTGTGGCTTAAGGCAAAACCTATAGCACTCCAGCTTCACTGCTGTGAGCTGCTTAAAGCCAGCTCAGGCAAATACCAAGTGTGGTAGCATGCTGCACCAGAGGACAGAGCATTGCACAGGCCTCCTGATAGCATAAAAGGTCACTGAAGAGGATGGAACAATGAAATGGGAATCTGATCTAGTATTTCCTATTGAGGATATTCTCCCCCCTTTGGATTAAACTGCTTCTCCAGGAATGAATTTTCTAATCCTCTCATGCCAGTTGTGCTTTCTTTTGCAATTCCTGGGCCTAAATGGTTTATATGTTGAACAGCTTTTCCACAAAGAATACCACCTTTTTCATAGGAGCACGTTTAGGACTGTACTTTGATGTGCACTTGCACGCCTCCTGCCTGGCAAATGCACTTCAGTGTGTCACGGAATCCAACAATCATTTATTTATCTCTCCAGGACTTTGCAGGCAGTCTGCAGCAATGAGCTAGAATTGGTGAGCTCTGCACTGGTACAACTAAACCTTGCATAATCAGGCTGCTTAGAGCCACTGGCCTGGCTATGTTTGTTTCTGCTGACATGCCTGGGTTAGAAATTGCACATCAACAGAGATTCAGGGTAACTTCTGTTCTCAACTCACAGCAGTGCAATCTCTTTAGTACAGCTGAGAAACAAATTTGTCCCTAAGAGTTTTGAGGCTCTGAAATAAACAAAATATACCCAGGTATCACACAATGCCTAATTTCAATTTCTAATCCATCAATTTGTAACAGTAGAAACCTTTCTTTGGGTAAACCTGGCCAGTACTAAGACTTTACAGAAACAAATGGAGATCAAAGAAAACCTTGCTGAAAATTATAGAGGTATTCACTTGGGGGTCTTGCCATCCTGCAACAGAACAATTATTACCTTAATTAAGCCTGATACAGTGGAAAGCATAAAGCTTTTAGTGACAGAAAAGTGGCTCCTGCAAGATGATGGCTTTCAAAAATTCTGATTATGCCAGTTTATTTCAATTCATTGTACATCAGCTTAAAAAAAAAAAAAAGCAAAAAAAAAAAAGCAGTACAAACCAGCACAGGTGATTACTTTCAGATCCCCAGCACATTTCCTTTAATGATTAAAAGAATATTTAATGGTTAGTGCTTACTTTATTTCTTCTTTCTGACTCAACAACACTCTTTGCAAATGACTTTTTCGCTTTTATTTTGAAAATACTCTTGATCAGTGAAGAGGAAAATGGAGGAGTAACTCTGCTGCCTTTTGTTTGCCCAATACTACTTCCAAGTTGAATTCATGCATTCTTAAATGAACACAGCGCAGTTGCTCTTCTAAAGAATTAAGTGGGGAATGAGAGCAAGTAAATTACTGAGCCTGTCATTTGGATCACTGACTCGCACCGCTGTTTTGCAGGACTCCACACGGTCCAGAATTTTAATGCGGAGTGCAATTGATTTGTATGAGCTGCTTGTGCAAAGCTGATGGGGGGGGGGGGGGAAACCTGCAAGGGGGATTCCAGAAGTGACAGCCGAGCTGATGAATGCTCTCCTTTGTCCAGACTTCCCCTCCCCTCAGTAACTTATACCTGCCCCTGTGATACAACCCCATTTCATATAATCAAAACAAATACTGGAAGGTGGGATATAAAAAGATGAAAAACATGTGCTTGCAAAGCTGAAGTGACAAAATGTTGGGTGTGGCTGAGGCATATTCAGAAGAGCAAGCAGACTAGAACAGTGAAACCCATTAGTAGGTGACATTAATTGCTGGTTTTACCTGATATTGTCAGACATCACCATCATTTCAAACAAAGAACCATGGGATGATTATAACAAATAATGTTATGCTGATGTAACAGTTAATACAATTATTACCTACATTGTTATAAAATAGCTGGAAGCAGCACTAATTAAAAGCATCAGGATAACCCAGTTCACAGCACATGCAAAGCGCATGAGATGCAGGACTTCAGTTCCCAAGCGGCTGTTATCTTAAACAATCCAGAAGCCCTTTGCATTTAAAACAGCATAGGTCTACAATAATAACTTACGAGAAAAAAAAACACTTTATGACTAAAAAGTATTTTTCTTAAGAAGATACACAAGAAATTTCAGGTTTAGCTGGGATAATTTATTTCCTGTATAACCTTGGGAGCAAGTTCTGATCTTACATGAATGCCAGGGCTGTCGGAGTCAACTATGAAGCTGAAAACAGTATTTTGTGTCTTATTTTAACTGGGTGGCCAATATAACCATGTGCTCATAGCCACAGGGTTCAGTTGCTCTTTGTTCTGATGACTAGGCCTTTACTTTTCACTATCTCAATCATATATAAGTCCTATCCCATGCATTTACATGAGATTCTGTGATGAACAGGGCCTTGAACCAAGGAAACCCTGAACTTTAAATGCATTCTTACAGACTCCACAGCCTGTATTTCCTCCCAGTATGGGAAACTTCTAATACCTTTAGTGTGGAACCATTCCATTTAACTCTGGAAATGTCAAAAGGACTAATAATAGTTCTTCTCAAACAGGGCACAGAAACCACACCATCATCATGCAGTAAGGTGCTTCTGGGTTAAGTCACAGGTCATCACTAAAAGGCCCTCTAATATTAAACCATCCAGAAGACCTTAGGTGTAATCATGATGGTATCTTATGTGCCTTTGGTAAATGGTTCTCCAATGTAAATAAATGCTTCTTTCTGCTTTTATTTCTTTATATTAATGCATAAAAGTGTTCATTTGACCTTCACATCAGCATCTTATAATGTTATGGGATGAAAAAAAAATTTAGACTCTATCTCTTAAGGCTTTAAATATTCAGATTTTGTGGATCTTATTATATGGCATTTCACAGACAGATTCAGTACTGGAAATGCTGGACAAAATTCTGATCTTATTCACACTGGCACATGTCCAAAATAACTGCTGTGGCATCACCTGAGTCATTTTCATACTGAGCTATGAAAGCTGAGACCACAATGAAGTACCTGGAGTTCATACATGTACACATTTAAGGGTACATATTTCCCAGGAACAGTAGTACACTTGGCATTTACAACCTTTTTGTTTCTCAGCAAAATAAAATACACTGTAAACAAAAACCTGCCAGGTACTCTTGTCTACTAAGAAAGAATCACTGCCCTAAAATGGCAGTCATTCAGCAAGACATTTATAATAGCTCTCCAGGGAGCTCCAAACCCTTCTTCAGCCTCCTGGCCCTTCCCAAGACCATTTGTCTTTACCTTATTTAAGCTGCGTGCAGCACTGTCCTTCCCACCCGGAGTCAGGTTTCGGAGCTGCACGTCAAGCAAGTTCACCAGCTGGACCATGGCAGACACAGAGTATGCGATGTCACCAGCATACAAGTGGTTTTTTGTGTGCTCTGCAAGCTCTCGGGCAATGTTGGCAGCCATCTCCCCCGACTTCATCTGCAGTCAAGAAAGCAGAAGAAAAGGTTGTCCCTGGCTGTTAGTATGATGTTATTCCAGTCCCTTCCAGCTCCAGAATGTTACACAAATCAAAGCCCCAGAAGAAGAAGAGAAGAGAGAAAGAAAAGAAGTTTCCAAGAAGAAAACTACAGCAAGGTTCTCCATGGTTTGATCATGTAATTGTAGAATCATAGAACTGTTTGGGTTGGAAGGGACTGTCATGCTTTAAACTCAACTGGTAACTAAGTACCATGCAGTGGCTCACTCACCCCCTTACCCCTTCCACAGGAGGGGGTAAGGAGAATCAAAAGAAGGTAAAACCCACAGATTAAAATAAAAACAATTTAATAAGTGAATCATAGAATCATAGAATCGTTAGGGTTGGAAAGGACCTTAAGATCATCTAGTTCCAACCCCCCTGCTGTGGGCAGGGACACCTTACGCTAAATCTGAAACACAATATAATACTACTACTAATAATAATAATGACAAGGGAAATAAGAAGTGGAGATAATATAAAACTAAAAAGGGAAAAGGAAAAAACCCAAAACCCAATAAGCACAAGTGATGAACAATACAATTGCTCATCACCTGCTGGTCTATACCCAGCCCAACCTAAGCAGCGATTAGTCCTTTCCGGGTGACTCCCCCTCGTTTATATACTGAGCGCGACATGCTGTGGTATGGAAAACCGCTTCGGCTAGTTTGGGTCAGGTGTCTTGTCTCTGCTACCTCCTGGCTTCTTGTGCTCCGCCTCATGGTAGAGCATGAGAGACTGAAAGACCTTGATCAGGGTAAGTGCTACTGAGCAACAACTAAAACATCGGTGTGTTATCAGCATTGCTTCCGGACTCAAGCAGAAACACAGCACTGCACCAGCTACTAGGAAGAAAAGTAACTCTATCCTAGCTGGAACCAGGACAATAACTTGAAAGATCATCTAATTCCAACCTCCCTGCAGGGACATCTTTTTTGAGTATGGTTTAAACACAAGTGGCTTTTCCAGCTATGGTCACCATATGGGCTTCAACACAACAACTGATTTTCTTACAGGGCATTGCTGGAATTGAGGGGCTGCTGCTTCTTTGCACCACAACAGATGTAAGTAAAGATGACACTGCATTTCATGAGAAGCCCATGCTAAGGAGGGCTTCAGTTAGCTTGTCCCCTTATCCTACCTAACGCCACTTGAAAAAAAAAAAAACACAACCAAACATGTAAATAGTCTCTTCTGTTAAGAAAGAGAAGTTTCTGATTCCAGAAGATTATTTCATAGTGAGAAGATGACTTTTGCTACAACGGCTGTGCAAAAAAAAAAGCTATTTGTAAAAGGAACAAAAACAGATGATAACCCAGATGAGCAAGATAAAAATGTTCACAATTCCTACCATATGGATTTAATAATCAGGTGCTAACTTACCACTTTGCATTTCTTCGTATTTGCATGCTCCTTAACCCACTAGTCACTACATCTATAACAAGGCTAGTGATTCTCAGCACATAAAAGCATGTAAACTCAGGAGCAAAAGGCTTAAGACTTCAAAGGTCTGCTGTAAGGGAAAACCAAGTAGGCTGTTTGGCTGAATCTATTAAACCGCTTTTATTGTTTAGTTGAGTCATAAAACTCACAAATCACCTGCAGAGAAATTCACTGCACAATTATTTGGGAAACTCTCCCCTTGTGACTTTACCCCCTTTCTTGCTCTGTTTTGCTCTCCTTTTCTGGTGGCCTTCTCTTCTTCTGTGCCATGGAGACTGAGAACAAGGCAGCTTGTTCCATCTCCTTTCTACAAGCAGCCCACTACGAAAACACTATTGCAGGTTGCTGGGCTTTTTCTGTTATATACCACTTTGTGATCTGGAATGAGTATCCATAGGGAATATGTCAAGGATAAGGAGAAATTGCACAGGATGACATTTAAATGGAGCTCCCACTTCTTTTTCAGGCTCAGTGGCCAGCTCTGCTGGGTTCTTCATATGAAATTTCCAATTGTCTTATTTTCCAACAGTTAGAGATCAGATGTTTCTCATGTTCCCTCAATTTCTGGTGCTTATTATAAAGCAAGATTCTAGGGAAAGATTGCAAGCTGAGTTTCTACCTCTCTGTAAATCAATTAGCTGAGTTATAAATGAATAACTTACTTTCATCAATTTGACAGCGACAGCCAATCTGATTTAATGAAATATAAGTGAAGATGTTCATATGCTCATCTTCAGAGAATTAAAGCATATGATGATATAGAGGAGATAAATAAAAGAGATAATGTGTTGTTCTTCCCATTAGAGCAATGATAACATATTCAAAAATTGAATTATTTCTTCCTTGTTACACACAAGGCTAATGCCATAGAAACCAGATCTTATTCTTACAGCTGCCTGCTCTCATAAGCAGCTGAACAAAGCCACATATCAGCATAGAAGCTGAATTTTGACCTCTTCTATTGGCACTCAGAACATTAAAGAATGACTGCATCAAATCCCTTTATGTAAAGAAATCAATTTCAACATTTTCCTGCAGTTCATCACTGGAGCTTAGCATGTATGTAACATGGTGTTTCTGTAAGCCTTATAGAAAAGTGCAGGAATGCAATGGTTTATTACAGATACATTAGAAAAAAAACACCTTCTACCCAATATTTGATGCATACATATTCTCTTGGACCATGCACCTAGGCAAACTAGCATACTCAGAGCAAATTTGTCAGCTGCTACAAAGACAAAACCAAGAGTTCCCTGCAATAAGTTCTTGGTGGCATTGAACTGCAGGCTGCCATTCTTCCTACCTGTCAGCAAAAGTGGTGTAGATTCGTCACTAATAAACTCTTTTCCTTTTACCCTGAACTGATCCTAAGACCTGCATATCAGAGGAATTATAGTGTGACCGAATAAACACCCCAAATATAGGCAACAATGGAAGAAATGCCTGAGAAAAGGCACATTAAAGCTCAAAATCCCTGAACCCCAGGGACACAGAAGTGTTTACCCAAGCTCATTTCATGCACCCAGGTTTCCTGAAAACAGAGATGTGAGACAATGTGTCTGGTTGACAGATGATGAAGCTACTTCCTAGCACTGACATTCATTTCCACACTTATTCATTATCATCAGAAAAAGCAGTTACAAGTCTCAACAGCGTTGAGACACTCTTTCCATTCTGCCTGTGTGGATAATGAGAGGGGTATCCAAAATGATGGTCATATGACATGTTAATGCTAATTTCCCCAATTCTTTTGAGCATTTTCCACCAATATTGAAATATCTCCCATGCAGACCTATCAAATCCAACTTCTGTTACAAGTCCCAAATGTTGGCTGAATAGTCCAGGCCTAAGATGTATGTCTGGTCTGTCATAACACTAGGACTGAGCACCTTCTTTGATTAATTCTACATAATGCTCAGCAAAACTCACTGGTGCCCAAGAGGATGTATTACTAACTTACTTCCCTTCTAATAAAACACCTCTCCACATCTTCCTCATCACCATTGCTGCATGGAAGACAAGCCCGCCATAAGGTTTTTCTTCCAAAACGTAATACTCTTTAACTCAAACAGTGACATAGTCAGACAGGAACACAGGCACAATCCTTGGAGGTTCTTCAAGGGTCACACTGTCACTGAGAGGTCAGCAAGAAGTAGGGAAAAAATGTGCAATTAACTGAGCTTTCTACTCAGAGGCTCAGAAACAAAGGGAGCTAAAATACATCTCTTTCTGATTTGAGTTTTTTTGTTGTTTTTTTTTATTATTTTCTATCTTGATTATGAAAAAAAAGATTTAAAAACAAACAAGAAAAAGTATTCTGGGATAAAATAAAACAATCTGTTCAAAATAAATTGGATTTCTGGTTATTTTGGATGATTTCTCCTCCCCCTTTTACAAATTGATTAAATCTAGTCTTGGAATGCTAATTTGAAGGAAAGAAAAAAATGTTCCTTGCCAAAAATGCCAACACACAAAATATAGTTTTCTAGCTCTGTCAAAAAATTTGCTCATCTCTTCCATTTGAACAGAATTCAGGCCAGACTTACAAATGAGCATTGGCATACCTGAAACCACGCTGTGCAGCACTTTGCTAATATTTTCACAGTTTGTACCACTATCTTGTGTCTTCTTATGAATGAAAAGACTGTGAAATAATAGTTGTTGAAGAGGGCATACATTTCTGCCTGTTTCATATATGCCAAAGAACAGATGCAGGGAACCTTTTCTGGGAATACTAACAATGACCTCCCCCATATTGCATTGCTCCCTGTTTCAGCCCTACCTTTCTCAGAAGCAAATGACTGTGGAAGAAGACGGTAGAATAAAAATGAGAAAAAATGAAGGAAAAAAAAGTATTTAGTGAAGAAAATTCAGAAGAAACAAGAAAGATACTGGGAAGGGAGCAAATGTGGTCATAAAGGCAAAAATATTTTCCTGCAGCCTGAGGCTGACTGATATGAAAAAAAACCAAAAAGATGTCATGAAAGATTGAACCAGGATTTTTAAAAACAGTGATATACAAAGTGGACCAGTCAGCTGGAAAGGCCATGGTGTCGACGCTATTTTCTGGAGGTACAAACAACTGACAGGTTTTATCAGGCACCAGCAGCTGCCAGCAGCTGGGAGCAAGGCTGAAAGAGGGGCTGTGGGCTAACTTCTGACACTGTAAAGCCTTCATGGCCATTTTCTTTCCCTGGCAAAGGTTTCATTGTACATGTGTACATTCATAGAAAAGAGTCAGAACATATCTACCATCCTCTTTTTTGGACGATGAACATCCTGTTCCATTTAACTTTGTTTTTTTTCTCTTATCGGATGATACCTAAGGCTATAACTAACTAGTTATAAACGCTAGTTATCCAACAGGGTTTGGCTGCTGCTCTTCCTACAGTACAGCTGAGCTAGAGAACACTGAAAAAGTGGGTTTGAAACTATGGTATTCAAACAACTTAAACTGCATTTAATTTCCCTCTAATAACCCATCAACTATAGCATCTGCTCCATCCAGTACATGATGGCACTGTGGAAACATACTGTCAAAATCAGCCTGGATGAAGGATTTCACTATGGTGTCATCAGGACTGCAACTTCACCCTCAGGCCTCGACATGATCATGTGGTGATGCTCTCCACAAAACCCCACTCCCTCTGTCAGACACAACCTAGCAAATCTACAAGACCTGATGAAGGTACTTTGTACTTTGACCCCTAAGGTTTATCTGTTCTTTGTGACTATATCATCTATGCTGTTCAGGAGGGCAACATGAATATGGTTGGCATGTGCTTTATGGATGTTTGAGGCTTTTCATGCATTCATGAAGGACAAAACACTTTCTGTTCTGCCTTCTCTCGTTTAGAGGCTTGAAGCATAGCACAGTGGTGCCTCTCCTCCTAGGAAGCACCCACAACTGAAAGCTGCAGCAAGGAAAAGATATTTTCATGCAAGTCATACCCTGCGCCAATGACCGTAGTGATGAAAGGAAGAGGTAAAACAAAGAAGCTGAGACCGAATGTATGACCTCATGATCAGGACAAAGCAATGTATCCAAAACTGACCTTTTTGCTTCCTTTTACTGCTTGACTCTAGAAATAACCCAGGCAGCAGTGCATTAATTCAATCGCACTGGTAAGTTTATTCTCCTGCTATGTTACAAGGGCACGATAGGCACCAACAATAAAGTTAAAGTAAATGTCAGGAGGCCAATGAATTGCTGAAGCAGACATTTGTTCTGATCTTCCATCAAGCACAATAACTCTAATGGAAGCTAATAGAGGGTTGTAAAACCTAATACCATGATGCAAGCAGGCAAACACCCAATGTACGGTTTGAACACAGCAGGAGACAGAAAAGCAGCAAGTAATAATCCTTACTTCACTTAGAGAGACATGAAAGCAAGCACAGCATTTTCCTTCCATCCTCTCTGGCTTGGCTGAAATCTCTCCAGGGGACTCATCACCCTTCTTCCTGAGTAGCTTGGTCCCAGCAGGTGATAGAAGAGGGTATTTTTGGGAGACAAAGCAGATTAGGAATAAAGACACGCTGAGCAGGTAGGAACCCTGGCTGACGAAGTAGCATTTCCAGCCATTTTGTAAGCTGTGCTGCAGCCGTGGATGCTGTGGGATAGATGGCCAAGGAGGACCCAGACACTGAGGATACAGGAGAGCTGAGCTGCAGGGTGTGATCACCCCTGAAGTATGGCTGGCTTTCTGCTTCTTCTAGCAAGAAGTGGAGCTGGCTTTGCTGAGAGGAGGAAGGCTTGTTTTTCAGCTTTAGATAGGTGCTGGAAAAAGTCTACAAGCTCGGGGCAGGGAAGCGTCCCATCAACAGCAAGGATGTGAGAAACCAGTGCCTGATTTATGTGTGGATCAGTCTTCAACTCTAAGCACAGTGACGATTTCCAAGCCTCTTGGGCAGGGAAACCGAATGGCTATTGATTATTTCATTAGTAATTTAGAATGTGTTTGCTCTAAGTATCTTACTGAATGCAAACCCCAGCACATGCCCATAGGCAAACCTGGCAGAACTTTCCTCTCAAAAGTCATTCCTGGAAAGTCTTCATGTTTTTCTAGCAGCTCTCAATAGAGGCTGGGACATGTATTCCAAGATCTTAGTGGATTACTACTTAGGCATCAAATATTGGATCCAGAGTCATTTGACAGATCCCTATAGTCTTCCCACCAACTGGTGGAAGCTTTCCAAAGCTGAACATAACTAAATTCCTCCACAAAAATAATAACAATTAAAACAAACTGACTATCTCCAGTCCCAATTTTAACCTGCTGGGCATTTCTGTAAACCTGGCTCTCCAATTGTAGCCTGCTTTGAAAGCGCATAGCAAATTAAATGGGGGTCATTTCTTACACAAATGATAGCTGGGGTTTCAAATAAAATAAGCCTAACCTTGATGGAGATTTCATCAGTGCAAGCTATTATTTCCCTCTGCTAATGGCTAACTGCCTAGACATCTTCACCGAGCAGCAAAAGGTCTCCCAGCTGACTTCGTGAATTATAGCTAGCGTAAGTAATATTAACCCCTCCAGGATAAGTACGTGGGTCATAAAACAAGAGCTGCACAGCTGCTAATATCAGAAAAGGCAATTTTTATTAATCAGCTAGCTGAGTGCATGGCAGGAAAGCTGCCCACCCTCCCACATGGGACAGAAGGACCACAGGCTTTTTAATGGCTGTGCCATGTCACAGCAGCCCCATGTTAATGAATATCTTCCTTCGTCTTTGGGGAGGGAAAGGTATAAATATATATGGTGCGATATAGTGATGATCAGGGGTGTATGTGCTAGTGATTCACAGGTTGTTGTATCTCAGTTAAGATGGGAAACAGGCAGGAGAAAGCCAGAGAGTCTTGTCTGTAGGGTCACCCCGTCCTGTTCACCAGCAAGCACTGGCTCTCTGGGAGTGTTGTGTTGCTCCCACACAGCAGCACAGCTAGCCTGCAATGCTGGGACTCACTCACTCTGGCTAAAGGAGCGAATAAATCCCCACAGATTGCAATAATAAGGATTCAGCCCACAGACTCTGTGGCATAAACACACATCTGGTCTTCTTTTGTAATAAAATCAGCTGAAAGCACCACTGTGCATTAATAACAAAAACGTTCAACATATTGATATCAAATAAGCTCTGCTTGTCTTGAACTTCTATTGTCACATGTTAATGCACTTTAACACTGATAAATGATGAAGTGTTACAAAATATTTATCAAGAGACTTAAGAGTCAAAAGATATGCATTACTGCAGCACTGCTTTTTATTCCATCAGTTCCTTTACAGGAACTAAAACCAGAAAGTCAGAAGTGCAATGCAAACATTTCATATTGAGCCTGCCTTTCTTTGGTAAAGATTTCTCAACTATAGGGTTTATCCTGTGCTTGCATGGCATGAGAAAATCCTTGGGGATGCATGAAAGGGAAAGCTTCCTTCTGCAATAAGTTGGTATTTTCCACATGACCACCCACCTCCTCCCCTCTTTTCCTCCTTTTCTTGACACAAACAAGAACCACTGGTCACTCTAGTTAAATTCTGCTCTACAGTCCCTCTCCTTTGCCTTTCCGTCACTGTCTTTGAATTAATTTCCATCACATATTTACAGTCTTGCTTTCTTCTTACAATTCTTCATTAGTTCGCACGGCTCATGCTTTATGTGTTTGTCACTTTGGGTTCCCTGTTGTGAAAACAACCAGGGAACTCAGGAAGGTTAGTGCGTAGGCTCAGTGTAGTCAACGCATAGGAAGGGTTTTACCTTCTGAGTGATGTGGTTGATCCAGGGAGAAGAACAGTTGCTGAGATCAGGTCCTTGGGGCTCCCAAATCCCATCTGGCGCAAGACACCGGAAGGTTGCAACACCTGGAAAAGGAAAGCCATTGTGTTCAGTGTTACCAGTTGCATTTTGCACCCAAACCCCATGTTACAGGCTTCATTTCACAATGATAGACACCTCATGCAAAGCATGGGAGCTTAGTAGTGCTTAGAATCTCAATAGGATCCTTACGACTCAATTCAGTGTCCTAGTCTCCCATCACCTTAGCCTTAAAAGACCCATGAGGTAGCGCAAGGACATTATCTCCATTTTACTGGAGACTACGGACAGAGGTTTTTGCCTTAGGCCAGGCAGGAAAGATGCCAGGGGCTAACAAATCGAAGCTGCATCTCAAACACTGAGCCAGCACCTTAAGTGCTCTGTTCCACCGCTGGTGCCCTGGGCTCAGACCCTGTACCTCAACTTCCATGCTGCTTTATGTAGGTTTTACTGCTCTGAATCATCATTGAACCATTTGAGTGGAAACACACAAAAATTTAAACACTATGAATGCCAAGATGTAACATTGGGCTTTACTGTCCACCCGCTGCTGTCAAGAGGGACTTCAAAGGAGAGTTTTGTTTGGCAAGGGCCACCCCAGATTCCTGCTGCAAAAGACAGCAAAGGACCTCGGGCCCTTCCAGACAAAGAAATGCATCTGAAATGGTGCAGTTAAAGATCTTTAAAAAGCAAGAAAGTCTGAATACGTAGATTAGAGTGTGTGTTATTCAAAGTGCAGAGCCAAACTTTTCAGCAGAGGAGTGAATTACAAGGCTAGATCTGATGGTAGCACCGACTGAAATCAGTGAGAGTTTGCTTATGCCTTCCAAGGGAGCTGGAAGAAGCTCACTGCTAATATACCACAGCTTTTAACAAGTTGCATGAATCACTGAAATTAGAGATGGGGAAGGCTTCTTGCCATCCTCTATCAAAAAGTTGGGTTATCCTCTTTTTTCCTGAGCTATTTTCATCCAGCTCTCATGCCTAGAAAAGGGTTCCCTGCATCCAGCCTTCCTTTTCCTCTTCTCCTCTCCATTCCTTTCCACACTTTCAGTGCAGACTCTCCTTTCCCCTCTCTGGAAACCACATAACATTTTTGGCATTATTTTTACCAAATGGGTCTGGAAAGGTAGCAAAATTGGTGTTTACCTATTCTCACGACTGATATCTTTCCATGCCCATCATACTTTAACATGTATTTTTATCAGTGTGACCTCTCCAAATTCAGCAGGGAGTCAGTATTCATATACACAGGTGTAAATTTAACAGTCTCCTCTGCAAGCCAGATCCTTTCATCTCTTATTTTCATGCAATTTTCTCCAACTTATGATTCCTTCTTGGCAAGCAGCTTTTCAGCTGGACACCAAGACTCACTTGAAAAACAAATACTTTTAGAAACCTGCATTTGTTAAAATACGGCAAACTGAGCCATATGCCAAACCCCATTCTTTATTCGACTATGTTTTCAGTTGGACAGAAAATTTCAAAAAGCAATCTTTTGGAAGAAAACAACTGGGGGGGAAGAGTGAAGAAAAAGACAAAAATCCAATAAGCAATAAACCATTTTGAAAGATTTGGCTTTGTTTCCCCCCCTGCTTTCCCTGCTGATCACACTGTCTGCAGGCTGAAAAATCACTCATGCTGGTTCAGGAATGCTCCAAAATGCTGGCCACAACCTTTGAAATGAAAACAGTGAAGCAAACAGCTTCAAAATGTAAGTTTTGTTTATTTCTTCCTTCCTTTCCCTCCTCCACTCTCAATCAAGCAAGGCATTGGACGTCAACACATCAGCCAATGAGCCCAGGATCTACAAATAAAGGCAAAACCAGAGATAGCAGGCGCATTGCACATAACTTCTGGAAACAGAAGCTTTTATAGCAAAACAAGCTCAACCCTACAAGGTCATTAGCTTGCACTCTCTTTTGGCCAGAGCCTGGGATGCTAAAGATCCTGCACAATGTCCCCAGCACATTTGGGGCCCAGCCAGCTGCTTGCCACAATTCACCAAAGCAATGCAGACCTGACAGAAGGCATCAGTGTGATCTACTGAGGGAAGCATGTGTGCCAGAGGGGCCTGTGAGTGATCCTACTCCACACTCACAATATCCCATGGGCAAACAGAGGCAGCTTGCTGTGTTCTCCCATCCCTCAACTCACCTATAGAGCCCATAGGACATGGCTGCTTTGCCACCTGTCCCTGCCGAGTTCGAGACCACGTAATATCACGGGCTTCCATGGGGTCGCAGCTCTCTGCACCAGCCGGTGGCAGCTGGGAGGAGGCAGGCGGGAGGTGAGTGGTCATTTCATTGGGGACATCAGCCATGGGTGATGGCGTGCTGGTGCTCCTGTTCCTCCTGCCTGAGGCCGAGGTCGTGGTGGGGCGGCTGCTGCTGCTGGTGACCATCCGTGCTGTAGTGCTGGCCGTGGTGCTCCCTGGGCTTAGAGCCCCTGATGTTGACACTCCTGGAACAAAGGTGTAGTTGATTAAAAAAAAAAAGAAGGAAAACAGAGATTCAAGCCTAGGTCCCAGGGATGTCCCCTCCACCTCTGTGGGGTGTAGTTGGAACTACAGCTAATGCAAGGCTTGCTTCACAGACACCTTTCAGATCGAAGCTGGAACACAAAGCAAGAGATGCACACAGGGGGATAATGACTGCTGAAGCACAACCGATCTTCCAAAAGCACTAGCATCTGATGAAAATAAAGCAGAACTTTATGCCCTCACCATTTTTCTTCCTGGCATTTTAATGTAAAAATCTTATTTTCTATCTTTTAGGGAACACCTATCACAGAAATGCTTTTAATTTTTTAGTGTTACTGAAGACCCAGCTGGTTTGGATAGAAAAATATTTTCCATGGTGTAATAAAAAAAGCACCACGTCACAAATCCATTCCCAAAACAGCAGTGCACAACAGGATGAACATAAGACTATTCTCCAGAGCAAGCCGTTCATTTTCCCTCAGGTTCATGCCTTGCTGCCTCATCCCAACAGCAGGGCTTGGTCCCTTGAGCTGTAGGCCATGTGGCAGTTGCAAAGGTGCATGTCAGCCTAGCCAAATCCTCCAGTTTAATGCTCAACAGGCTATTTAATTTAAAACCTGTGATGAGAAGTCAAGCAGCAAAAGGTGGGGAACCTGCTTTAGAAATGCATTAACCCATCCTACAGTACATCCTACAAATACATCCTACATCCTATAACCTATAAACATCCTGCAATAGCTCCCCTAAATACTGCAAGTAGTGAACACTGAAGGATGCCTACCTTACAATTACCTTAATTTGCCTCCTATTTAGACCAAGGTGCTTGCACAGACTGGAGCTTCCTGGGGATTTCTTTATGTCTTGATCTAAAATCTCAGGTGGGGAAACGGAGGTTGGCTACCTCCAATTGCTCCTCCATTGCCCAAGCTGTGTACAGCTTGTGAAGAAGCCTGCTTCTCCCATCTCTTTTGCCTCTCCCAAAGATAAGCACCTTCCTGCTTCTCTCAACATAATGCTTTTGCTCCAATTAAATGCCAGATATTCACAAATGGCCCCTCAATCCCTGCCTGGGGAAACACTGGGCCTGTCTGGGAAAGACAGGTAAGGAAGCCATATGAATAGGCTTTTCTGATCCTTGTCTGATACTATTCTCTCCTTAATTCCCATACCACAACATTTCCCTACCATCCCACCTCTTTGAGCATCAAAAATCCTTCAGAGTCACAGTTGCTCCATGCACAGTAACACGAACTGGAGTTTCTATATTAAATACAGCCAAGTGTGAACTCCAGCCTAGCCAGAAATTAAAATGTGAAAATCACCCTGTCACCCCAAGGACCAGCCTCTTAACTATCCAGCTGTGTAAGCAGGCTCATTCTGCAATCTCCTGAGAATGGAGATTGTCCTCTCTTCTAGGTCCAGTGAAGACAACCACAGTCACTATTTGTGCAATACTAGTAAAATATTATAATGTTATTAGTATATTATAATGCATGTGTATAATGACATTCCTGTCACTGGAGTTCATTCAAACCAATTCATTTCAAACACAGAGAGGCCTGCCTTTAATGTAAAATAGAGGGTTTTGTTATTTAAGTAATCTAAGTCCATGGTGCTGTGAGTAATTCTGCCCCAGAGTAATCAATAACGCAGCAGTTGAAACACACACTTACTCTGGTTTTAGGTAATTTTACTCCAAGCCTGAGACAATCTCCCTCAAACTTTAAAATTCAGCAGCATCATACACACGATTTTCTGAGGGATCAGTATTTTTTAAGAAAACATTCAGTTTAAAAATCTGATCTTTACTCTCCTTGGGAAAACCCCAGCCTCAAAAAGGTAAGCAACAGCGCAACTCCAACAAGTACAATGCAAACCCCTGCAGACATTGACAGATCCCTTCTAGGTTTTTCTCAAAGTTGTGCTAGATCAACAAGAAGTTGTGGAGAACTTTTGCAGATATTGTTTTTGCAGATATTTTACAACAGCAGGTACATGAGTATGTATTTTATTTCTTCATAGTAATGATTAGCCCAGTAGATAGCAACCTGCAAATTCTCCCATTCACTCATGCACTAAGTTCTTTTCCATTTGCAAAACAACCTATGCTTGTACACTACAGGCAGAGGTACCAAGCAGATACAGCAGATTTAGTTGCAAAGCCAAAACTAGCAAACCTCCCCTTAAAATAATTCTTACAGTCATTTGAGAGCATATAGAAACATATCCTGAACACCCTGGAGTTCCCTTTGATCCACACACAGGGAGGCTGCATTTTTGAGTCTAGTTTTCATTGACAATCATTGAATATCTCTTGGCATGTTGTTTTTGGAATAGCTCTGGCAAGTTTACTGTAGCAGCAAGACAAAGGGATTTAATGGCATTTTCCTTCAGTCACAAAAAGAGAGTTGTTCTATCTTTGATAAACTCCTTGGCACTAGAGTTGAAATCTCTTTGAGGGCTTGTTCTTCCAGGTTTTCTCTTGTTCAACTGGGCTTTCTTGCTGCTTTTAATAATAAATACCTTAGCTATTTACATAGGACGAATTATAAGAAGACATAAAAGAGCTGCCATGAAGTGGCCTAACAGAGTGAGATGAATGGGGTACCACTGAACTCAGTTCAAAGGTCTGATTATTCAGCAAGTCAGTTTGGTAATGAGCTCCAGCAAACATGATCACCATGCTAACACCACCCAGTTTCACCTGCCCCAGGCAGCACTGTTGCCGATTTTGCTCACAGAACTGTGTGCTTTAAAGCAAAGTTAATTGGTAAGAAGGGAAAGAACAAGACATCAGGATCATTTACATATAAATGATTCTCAAATCCAAGCAAAACCATGAAAAGACGACTGCAATCTGTGAAAAATTACCTAAATCTGACAGCACAGAACAGAGATCAAACCTCCAGCTTAACTCAGGCTGCCAATAAACTGTGAATTTTTAACTCAGGTAAAACAGCATTGCAGCAGCGCTTTAGCAGAAGGATTCTTCAGATAATACTTCATAATACAATCTTTGCTCATAGGCAAGTGCTAACCTTTAAAAATCATCAACACTGTTACAACTAAAAATGTATAATCTCGCTAGTATAACTAAAAATGTAAAATCATCAACACTATTGCAACTGAAATATACAGTAAATAAATTCTATTTTTACTACTTGTTTTTACCATGCATTGCCATAACAAGACTTCTAAGACAGCTTTTGGATAAGACTCAGTTTTTACTCCTAGGCTTCAAATCCAAGACATTGCAGACTTCCATTCCATGATGCACAGTACTGCTATAGGTGTTTCCACAGGCTGTGGAAACACCTCTTCCCCAGAAACACCCCAAAGTGGTATTTCACTTTTTTTCTTCCCTGTTCTATCTAGAGAGCTGGCACTAATAGCAGAAGGTTAAGTTTTGCCATCATTCAGCCTAGAGCTGCAGCTATAAGAAAAAAGAAACAAAACCCAAAGCATTTCCAGCATTCCCAGGGGAGTAATTGCAACTCCCAGAGAAGCCTCTCTACTCCCAACACATTGACTAGCAAGAAAATGAAATCATTATTTTTTTCTTTTTTTTCCTTTTACTTCCCAACCTTTACACAGAGCTCGGGCTTCTGGAGGAGGAATTTGGGTGGAAGGAAAATCATAGGAGAGATTCACTTATAGGGAAAAATCCGTCCTCTTCACCCCCTTACCCATGTTCTTGTTTTCCCCTTTCCTGGCCTAACATGACAAGTGCACTACTGACCTAAGACCAGCGCTTCAAATCTGCTACCAGGAAAATCCAGCCCACGTATCATCTTACCTTCTACTTTGCCTACCTCTTCCTGGTGCGCCCAGACATGGGAGACTGCTTTCCCAGATGACTTTGACTAGTGTTTTCCTATTGCAAAAGCAGCTTTGATTTCAAGCAAGGCTACTTGTGATCACTACTAAGCTACCTTTTCTCCCATAGTTTTCTTCTGGCACCTAAGTATCCAGCCTATGATCCAGTGTATTCAATAACTGAAAACCCTTTTTAAGAGATGTCATGTGTTTTCTGCCCCGTGAATGAAGATAACTGGCTGCCCCTGGAGCACAAATTGCAGACAAGATTTCCTGAGTGAGGTTCACTGGCTTTTGCTAGGTAACAGATGACAGAAGACACCTGTCAGGCTCTCCCCTGGGGGTTGCAATCCAATGGTTTAGCCTGATGGCTATGAGCCAGTGTTTGCTCACATAACTGGAAAGAGAGGCAACGCTCCAAGTTTCATGCAAAAGGACCAAGCAAACCATGATGACTTCACTGTCCAGAGAGTTCTGCGCTCCTGAGCCTGACACTTAAGCAGATGTGCTGAGGTGCCAGTGGCCAAGAGCCCGTGCTGCAGGTGGTGCAATGCTTGAGCAACTGAGGAGTTCAGCATCTCAATCATTTGGATACAGCAATCCCTCTTGAGCACATCTAGGCTGCATTCACAATTATTTACACACATTGCTGCTGTACTAAGACAAACGAACATTGCTGGTTTCAGTAAGGCTGTGAGAAACACAGAACCTGAAGATGCCTCCCTACCGCTCTGCTAGTTTTGCCCTTTTCATATCTGTCAATCACATCCTTTGCTTACAGGGAAAAAGCATCCCCTTTTATCGCTTTTTCTTCTACTGAAAGAAGGTACAAGTTGTATTTACATAGCAAATAAGAAGGTTTAGGCACCTCTTGAAAGAAACAGCACAAAAAACCCAAAACCCTAATACAGTTGGAGGATTATATCACAGCTGTTTTTCTTTTCCCTGCCACATAAACATACCTCATGGGAATTAGCTTTCTACAAGCATTTTCAAAAGCATTTCAGAACATTTTCTGAAACTCCATAGAAAAGAATTACTATTTGAAAATAAATATATTCCAATTTTCATTTCCTCTTTTTTGGGGGAGTGACTTTTCACTAAACTCACAGCAAGGTGACAGAAAAGGATGACTGAAGTCAAGAAGCATGTATGTTGAACCTTG